ATAACGTAAGACTACAAAAAAATTAAGAAAACAACATCAGACTAAACATTATACATTTGCTACATGGCTTTTGTCATTTTAGGCCCATATTACCAATTTCTTCATTTTTTTCTTCTTTCTAATTCTCAAATATCTATGTATTTCTCATTAGATTTCTCTTATTTTTGCTCGAACTCCTTTTTTTTCTCCTTCTCTCCCTCTCGTCGGATTTTTTCACCACCATATCTTTATTTTATTTTTTTCTCCTATCTCCATTTCTCGCATTCGTCGGGCATCACTACCGAGTCTCACTACTCTGACTCACCACCACAACTGAATCTCACTACTATCACAATCACCACCACCATCAATACCGAATCTCGCTAATTCCGACTCGCCACCTTTATCAATATTTACCGCCGCCACCACCACCAAGCTTGAACCACCATCATCAACACCAACACCACTGTTACCGCCTCTTCTCCTCTTTCCCCAACTTCTCTTATTACTCCACCTTCTTTATCTCCTCCGACATTAGACCAAGCCTCTGTGACGATAACTCTAGTCTATGTCTATCACCGTTCATAATTATTAATTTGCCTCAATTGCCATATATTCATTAGATCCGAATATCACATGCTATTTTTAGAAAAACATCTTGATTGAAAGTATTTTTTATAATTGATATGATATAACATCGTTAAGAAATTAGTTTGATTGATGAGAAAATATGAGACAATCTTTTTTTTTTTGTCTAAAAGCTTGGATTTCATTAAATGTGAACCGGTACAAACGGAATTGAATGTAGAGCAGATTTTGCTAACTCATCTGCTTTACGATTAAGGTCTCGCTTAATGAAAGAAAACCTAATTTCCTCAAAAGAAAGAGAAATACAAAGGATGTCGTGGAGAATCCCATGGAGCTCCATTGGTGGAGGCTCCCCATTGAGTGCTTTGATCAGCTGTTGCGAATCGGAAGCTAGAGAAAGTTTCTTGTAACCCAGATCTGACGCCTGTTGCAAGGCTCGAAGAAGACCCAATGACTCTGCCATTAACGGAGAACTTACATGCGTCGCAATGGATTGGTGAGAGGATCCGGAGATTGGTGCTTGAGCGACAAAGATCCATCCAAGGCCAGCAGATCGAGAGTCACCTCTCCAGGCTGCATCAGAGAAGCATCGAATTGTATCCTGATCAATCTCAGGAATTGGGGTGATAAGAGCTGCTTTGGTGGGAGCTTTAGCCCGGATCTGCGCTGCGTTCCATTCCTTTGCGTGAGAGATGGCTTGTGTAATAATATCCTGGCTCGAGAGGTGCTTGTTTTCGAAAATCTTCTTATTGCGGCTGGACCAAAGCATCCAAAGAATCCAGGGGAATAGAGGTCCTTGGCCAATTCCGGAAGGCGGGAGACAGAGCAAGAGTTTTGACGCTTCAATCCCTACTTGGATACTAGTGATCCGATCCAGGCAAAGCGGAGATTTGAAAGGGGCTTGATCCCACACTTGTTTGGCGAATTGGCAGTGAAAGAACAAGTGGAGACTAGTTTCCTCTTCTGCGCAGTGAGGGCAGTTTGCTGTAGGAGTGATTCCCCTTGATTTGAGATTTGCTCCAACTGGTATGGCGTTCTTCATAGCTTTCCAGAGAAGGAATTTGACCTTTGGGGAGCAGTAATTGTGCCAGATCTCCTTATTCCAGTTGAAAGCATTTGCATCAACTCCTCGAGATTTTTGTTGATTCTTCAATAATCCCGCAGCATAGTAACCTGATTTTACACTATAATCCCCTGCCTTGTTGAGGAGCCATACCCAGCGATCTTGAGCTCCTAGAAGGCTTGGTCTAAGAGCAAGAATCTCATATTCATATTGGGGAAGATTAAGGAGAATTTTTTCTCTGTCCCATGCCTTGGTGCTCGGGCATATGAGTGAAGCAACGGTCATAGTCTGATTCTGCAATGTTGGTGGTCCTACAGGGGATAAGGGAACAGTCAGAGAGAGCCATGGTTCAGTCCAGACCTTAGTCGTGGAGCCTGATCCAATCACCTTTCCCAACTGGGATTTTATCAAGTCTTTGCCTATGCAAATGCCTCAGCCATGGGAAGCAGACGACGAGACTGAGCAGTCTAGGAATGAAGATGACTTGCAGTATTTGCCCAATAATATTTTTGCTAAGAGGCAGTCTGGTTTCGTCAAGAGTCTCCAACTCACTTTTGCAAGTAAGGCATCATTAAAATTGTTGATATCTTTGAAGCCTAGGCCTCCATCTCTCTTTGAATTTGTCATCTTATCCCATGCGATCCAACACATCTTTTTCTTCACTGCAGATGCATCCCACCAGAAGCGTGTAAGGGCTGATTGAATCCTTTTGCAGAGGGACCCTGGGAGTTTAAAGCAAGACATGGTGTAGGACGGCATTGCAGCCAACACTGATTTCAACATGGTAGTCTTCCCAGCCGCAGACAAGAATCGAGAAGACCAGCTGAGTGATCTTTGTCTTATGCGATCAATAATTTGGTTAAAAAGGTCTCTTTTTTTTCTTCCAAACATTTTAGGTAAGCAAAGATACTTCCCTAAGCCTCCAGTCTTTTGGATACCCAGGATTTGTTGAGCAGTTGTTTTAATTTCTTCTGGGGTTTTGGAAGAGAATGTAATAGCTGACTTGCCTTTATTTATCATTTGGCCTGAGGCGGTCTCGTATTGCTGCAGGATCGCCAAGAGAGCTGAGCAAGGTTTGGAGTCTGACCTACAGAAGAACATCGTATCGTCTACGAACAACAAATGATTCACTCTGGGACTGCCTTTACCAACTCGGATTCCAGGTAATCTTCCATCTCTTTGAGCTTTACTGCATAAGCCTGAAAGGACCTCACTACAGAGAATGAAAAGGTAAGGAGAGAGGGGATCTCCTTACCTTATTCCTCTCTGTGGAATAACAAAACCTTGTAGAAGAAAAGAGTAAGAAACAGTAGATATGCATTGTAGTATCCATTGAATCCACTTGGGATGGAAGCCAATTCAATGCGATCATAAGCCTTACTCATGTCAGTAGATATGCATTGAAGTCCCATTCAATGCGATCATAAGCCTTACTCATGTCAGTCTTGACGGCCATATAGCATCTTTTCTTTGCATCTGATTTCTTTAGGTAGTGGAGGGCTTCATGAGTTATTAGTACATTATCAGTGATGGCTCTTTTAGGAACAAAGGCTAACTGGTTTCCTGAAATGATCTCTTGCAGCACCGGTTGAAGTCTTTTAGAGAGCAGTTTGGAGATGATTTTATAGAACACTGTGCATAAAGCAATAGGTCTGTAGTCAACCATCTTTTGTGGGCTTTGGATCTTAGGAATGAGCCTGATATGAGTTTTGTTGATGTTGCTCTGAAGGGTGGCAGAGGAGAAGAAGGACTGAACTTCTATGATGATATTAGGACCAACTGTTTCCCAATTTGTCTGGAAGAAGCTAGCGGAGAAACCATCCGGTCGAGGCGCCTTATCCGCATGAATGGAGAAGCATGCTCCTTTTATTTCTTTTGCGGATGGCATTTCAATAAGGGCTTGATTAGTTTCTGGTGAAATGCAGGTTCTGATGGCTGCCTTAACTGTGTTTACACGCTCTCCTGCCTTGGAGGTGAAGAGATCTTGGAAATAATCAGAGATGACTGTTAAGATGCTTTCTTCCTCATAAGCAGGTACCCCTTCATTGTTTTCTATAACAGCAAACTTATTGATAACTTTCCTGCTCCTAGTGATAGCATGAAAATATCCAGTGTTTTTATCACCTAGAGCTAACCATACCTGTCGGCTCCTTTGTTTCCAGAACTCTTCTTCAGCTTTATAGGCCAGAAGAAGTGTGTTGTTGATGTTGGAAATCAGGTTTTGATCATCTTCAGAACTAGCCATTGCCTCTTCAAGTTTTTGTCTATACTCCTCTATTACCTTTTGACTGTTCTGGTGTTTTGCTCTGGTCCAGGTAATAATTGCTTGGCGGCATCTACTGATCTTTTCTTCAACATCTTCCTCATCATATGCAGCCCAGGCAACTTTTATTAAAGAGGATACTTCCTCATTGTCTTTAAGTCTTCTATCATATCTGAAGATGCCTTTTTTCTTTTTCTTTGATAGGTCCAGATGCGTAACCAGAGGTCTGTGGTCTGATCCTTCAAAACGTAGGTAGGCACATCGACTGGATGGATAGTCCTCAGCCCACAAGCCATTAGACATAGCCCTGTCCAATCTACAGTGTACAACATGGTCATGCCTTTTCCCTCTCCAAGAAAGGAAGTTTCCGGAGTGTCTCAGGTCATATAAGTCGCATTCCGCCATAAAGGATCTAATATCAACAAAGGTACCCTCTGGTCTTACAGGACCACCTTGTTTTTCTGAAGCTTCAATAATATCATTAAAGTCACATGTTAAAAACCAGGGTTCTTCACGATTCCTCCCTTTTTCAGTCAGTTGATCCCAAATGGCTTTCCTTTTAGCTCTTTCTGGTTCTCCATAGAGAAATGTTGCAAAAAATGATTTTCCTGCTGCTGTGACTTTTGTGTCTAAGAAGTTTTGCTTCGAATCCAGAATCAAGATCTCAATTTCATGTTTCCAGAAAAGTGCAAGGCCACCACCTCCAGGGCTATGAGGAGAGACTAAGCAATGAGACGGATAATTCATCCAATTGGTGGAGGTAAGAACATTGTCATCTTGGTTTTTGGTTTCCATGAGGAATAGGATATCCGGTGAGATTGTGGACTCGATATCACGCAGTCTCTGGCCTGTTGCAGGATTCCTCAACCCGCAACAGTTCCAGCTCAGAATCTTTAAGGAAGAGGAGGAGATGGACTGGGAAAATCCATCTTTTTCTTCACTATGGCAGGAATCAAGGATGCTTTTGGACCAGCTTTACTTGAAGAGGGGTTAGGGTCTCCACCTTGTAAGTTAAGCTTTTGTTTAGCTTTTGAATTCCTATTGTTTTCATTAGTTTTCTGCCTTGGGAGTTCAGATCTCTCTGGGGTACCTTTTCTATTATGTGAGTTTTGAATCAAGCATTTGTTTCTCTTACTTGATTTAGCTCCCATCAGGTTAATAGGAGACTTATTTAAGGGGGGCAGCCTCTTCTCTTCTTAGTCGGAGCTGAAGTGTTTGCATTACATGCCTCAGGGAGTCGGGGCAGATCTTGACTTTCAACAATATCCTCTTGAGCAGTAGCAAAAGAAGCCAGGTAATTGTTGTCTGAGATGATTGCTGCCTCAATCATTTGTGAGGCTGTCTCTGCCATAAGCCCTTTTGCTTCCCCTTGTATGACTCTGCGTTTCCTAGTAGCGCTCTCTGTGGGGTCAGAGCAGCTGATGTACTGGACAGTAACATCACGAAGCTCTCCCATAACTTCTTCAGTTGTAGGCATTGGAGGAGGAGGAGGGGGTGTTACTTCAGTTGGGTTAAGGGACCTCTCCAATGGTGGTCTTCTAGTTCTAGAGGACTCGGAGCACTCAGGTCTTGGATAGGTTCTTGAGTTCAGTTTTTCTCTCCATTGGTAATTTGGTCTTTCTGAGAACTGAGAATGTTTGATATGATCTCTGTTGTTCTCTTCCCTAGGGGCAGAGTGAGTTCTGGAGGAAGATCTTTCACTGATTAGGGGTCTAAATCCTCTATGGCCTCTGGAGCTTTCTTGGGAGTAGATTGAAGTAGAGTGTCTCTTGTCCTCAGTGAAGTTTCCCCTTGGTGAGCGGTGATCATAGGCAGAGCGGGAGTGATGCTCTCTGATCTTCCAGGTAGTTGGTTGCCTCCTATGGGAGTTTGAGTTCTCATGAGAGATCCCACGGCTCACTGAGTGTCTTTCAATATTACTTGGAGCAACAAAATTATCTCTTGGTGAGTAATAATTCATGGGTGCCTCATTATTCTCTGGGAGAGGCTTTTGAGAGGATACAGCTTGCCTTTCTTTTTCTTCTTTGAGTCCTGGACAGTTTTTCCTTTCATGAGTAAGCCTTTGGTAGTGGGAGCAGTGATTCTTTAGGCTCTTGTACTCAAATGTGACTAAAGCCTCACTACCATCTGGGAAATCCACCATTGAGTCTTTAGTTAGTGGTTGCAGGCCATCAATAAGGATCCTGAGTTTAGCTGTTGAATCCGTGATTTCCATGTCCAAAACTTCACCAAGTTCTTCTCTGATGGTTTGGAGCATTTCAGGTTGCCAGAAGTGCTTTGGTAGACCTTGGATTTCAATCCAAAAAGGAATCATACAGGGAAATGAATCAGAGATGATTGGCTCCCACCTCTGGATTATCACCATCCATTGGTCGTAGTGATAAGGTCTGTTATCAAGAACTTTCTTCAGGTCCTCCTCATAGTCAAACTTAAACTGGAAACATCCTCTTCCCAGATCTGCACCTATGGCTTTACCTCTCAGATTCCAGCGATTGGAGAGGAAGGGGAAGAGAGACCAGAGTCTTTGAGCAGCTGGGTTGGTGAGTCTGCCTATGAGGGTGAGGGAGTTAGCTTCAATAAGCTCAGAAGTATCTAGGTCAGGTGCTCGGATTCTTTTGCGGATAGGGGGAGAGAAGCCAGTATCAATGCCTTTTCCTTTGAGATGCTGGGGTATTCTTTTTTCCATGGTTGCCAGTTAGGGTTTTCAAAGTCTCCGAAGAAGCGGTTCAGGTTTAGGTTCCTCACCCAAAGGTGAGAGTTTTCACAAGGGATTAAAAGGTTTACACACTTTAACAAGGTTAGACAGAGGAAAGATGTTCTAGAAGATAGTAGAGAGCACAATACCAGCTCGCTGAGATTTCTTGCTAGTTGATGGTTGGGAGCAGCTCATGGAGATGATTGTTGCCGGAGCAGAGGTAGAATTTTCGCCGGAAACTCTCAAAGTACCCTTCAGATCTTTCCATTTTTGGGTAAAGACCGTTGAATAATACTGTATTTAGATAAAGAAGGTAGGTGAGATTTGGTTTTTTGAAAGTTCCATTCTGTTTTGGGAGCCTAGGGAAAAGTGCCTGGGAGAGAAAAGTTTTTAGTAAAATAGACCTCTCTCTATACGTTATTCTCTATAAGTTTTCCAGAAATATGAGACAATCTATTTATTTATATAAAGGTCTATTTACTATCTTTTCTTATAGGATTAATAATTGATTGTATAATTTTTTTAATTTTTTTATAATTTTAAATCTTTTTCTTGTACAGTTAGTAACTTATAAATAAAACGTTTAGCATAATTTAATAATTTCGATTTTTATGGAAATATACATATAAATTCCTTATATATGTATAGTTTTTTATTATAATCTTTTTATATATTTAAAACTATTTAAATTTATAATTTTGTTATAATTATCTTTCAAAAATAAAATTTTTGTTTGCTAGATGGCGAAAACTCTTATGGAAATATATGTACAATTTCCTTATAATTAGCTTTTTACATTTTAAAACTGTTTAAATTTCTAATTTTTTATAATTATCTTTGTACTTTCTTTTTTGGGAAATATTACAAAGTAGCAAAAAAAAACACATGAATTAAGGAAGTAACCATGCGTCAGAAACTTTTGGTAACTAACTCTTTTTCTTGTGGGGTAGGGGTAGGATAAATACGAAATTATCCTTGTAAGTTATAGTAATTACAAGAACTTTGTCGCTGGATATAAAAAAATAAGACAGTTTCGTGAAATTTTTGAAAATAGCATGTAACATTTAAATTTCGCATGTTATATTTAACTAAAAGACATGATATTTTAAAAAACATAGTGAATTTTTAAGAAAAAACATTGTTACGTAGTGTTATTTTAAGAAAAAACATTGACATGGAAAATTTAATCTGAATAGTAACTTTTAAAAAAAAAATCACATATAATTTAAAAAAAAATCGTGTATTACTAAAAAATAATCATCTTTTAAAAAAAGAAATCATATGTGATCTTAATAAAACACGCGTTTTATTACCAAATAACATGATAAAGACAGATATTCACATGTGATCTTAATAAAACACGTGTATTATTACAAAATAACATGATAAAGACAGATATTACACTGAATATAATGTTTTTTTCGAGAAATACTATGTGTTTTTTATAAATAACATGTAGTACGAGAAAAATACATGATAAAAAGAGATATATTATGCTATCACATGTAATTCGAAAAAAAGCGTGTTACAAAGGACATATACGTAATTACACAGCCATTCCGACATGTTACAGACAGGATACTGTAGCTCATGGTTAGTTTGTGAATTCTTTTTGAATTCAAGGTTAGTTTCTATAAATTCTCTTCTTTTTTTAAAAAATAAAAATTTTATTTAACACATGTCAAAATCTCAGATCGAAAAATTTGACACGTGTCACGATCTCGTGAGTTACTAACTTTGAAAACCATACTTTATATAATAAGAACCTAAGCATATATAGCGACCGTAGTTCAATCTTTAACTATAAAAAAATTTGAAGTCACTTCTGAATAAAGTGTAGTTGTATTTATTGAGAAGCAAGTACCCGCGTTTGAGTAGATGGGAGTGATAGACAGGTTAGAGCTAAAATCCTCATCTGGTTGTTGAGAATCCTAAAGATTCTTGACGCACGTACGTGCGACTTTTCCTTAAATGTTAAATCTACTCTATTTAATTAGTTACAAAAAAATATAATTAGTTTAATTCAAATACATGTTTGCTGAAAATAATTTTATTAATTGGATAGCAGATTCCTTTTTGAGACTTTTATTAATGTAGAAATCAAAACTATTAAAAATGATTAATTGCTTTAAATGCATGAAAACGAAGTACACGCGTTTATGTAGTAAGCAAAATCAGATGTTTTGGTCTTATTTGTGATTATAATCACTTTCTTATATTCTTATTGGTAGATGGAAAATATTTTATAGCAGATGTCGTGTAATAAAATGCAATATTGCTCGAATCTTTTGTATGTGCGTGTAAGAGACTTTTTGTATGTATGTGTATCATCATCGTCTTTCTCATAAGAGGAATAACATGTATCTTTGCATGAATTGATTTTCTTCTCTGTTTTTCAAAGATTTGGTTCTGAGACCTGAAACTCTGAGGACTAAATGCATCTTGGTCGCCACTCGAAATAAAAATGCATAAGTACATGCGTTTTACCTACAAATATGATTGAGAAACACTTGTAAATCCCCGAAAACAAGTGGTACTCATAATGGTTATGAATGGTACGTATACCATTTATTTGTTTTAAAAACGTAATTTTGTGCAAAAAAACCTCCAACTCGTCTATTTTTTAACTTTACCCTTTATCTCAAAAAAATGCAGATTAATCCTACGAAGTCCAAAAATGCATATGTTATTCATCAAGTGTTTATATGTTTGAAAAATGATTTTGTTATATACTACTAGTTTGTTAAAATATATTTAGAAGCGTGATTAATTTATTAAAATTTATTTTCACCGCTTTATAATTGTTGTACGAAAACTTTGTCGAGTTATATATTCATATACTACAGCTAACATATGAATAATAGTTATCAATTAAATATTCAGCCTAGCATGCATTTAATCTCCTCCATGGTTCATTAATAGTCACACGACCACACAAACATGATTCATTAATAAGCACACGACCACACAAACACCTAACAATAGGTACTAACATGCCATGTCTAGCCATCTACTTTTAGTCTTTTACAAACGTTCATTTAGTTAAATCGCTATTTTTATACAACAAGAGCTCCAAAATAAAGTATAGATTTTACATCACATTGAACATCAATTTTGAAGAGTTCGAACAACCATGGAATAAAAACTTCGAACAACCTTATTTACCATGCAACACCACCAAAAGTCGTAGCAATTCTCATTTTTGTTCTCTCAAGCAAAGTTTTCTATTAAATTTGTAGCCGATTCGACAAATATAAATTTGAAACTTCTTTAAAAAAAATACATGTGGAGAGAATGAAGTGGCGACATCACATTTGGGACACCACAGTTTGATAAGCATTACAAAATAAATAATAGTCTCTTAGAAAAGGTTCAAAAGCTATTTGGGACTTTCTAATAAAAATGCAGAATGCAGTCGCTTAAGAGATAAAGCGGTTGTTTTTTTATTTAAGTTTATGAATCAATATTCTTACCCTTCAAGAAAATATTATTTGCATCACTACTACACTTAACCTTATGCTAAAAAAAATTAGGATATTATTTCATATTTTTATTATTAATTAGTATATTATTGGTTATTGTTTTGATATTACAAAATTAAATACGATGCGTCATCTATTTTTTATCAAAAATATATATTATATGAATTTTAATCGGATGATGATGCAAATGAAGATTAACTGTATTATGATTTATGAATATATGTTTCCTATGTTTTTATATATTAACGACACTAAAAAATGTAGATGGACTTTTGAAAGACATTAAAGTTTTATTTAAATAGTCAACGTAAAGAAGATAAGACAACAGTCTGTATGATGTTGACTGATAATATTGGTTGTTAAATTAATGGACACGTACGTATGATATATTCGTATTTCGTTGGTACTTAGTCGTTTTAGCTCTCTGCTGTAGCCTAGTATGAACTTGTTGATATCTTCTACTTCTCATAAAACTAATGTCATTAAATAGCACATTGTAGGTAAAAGAATTCAATTTCATAAACTACTGTAAAAAGGCATAACGCTTGCATTAGATTGATACACGTTATGCGCATGGAACATCTCGGGTTAGGTACAAAATTCTTGTGGATAATGAACAAGCCAGCATGATTTTTGGAACATCCCGACTATGTGAGAACATTGGTTAATATTTAACCAAATGAACTATTATAGTCTTTTTTAATAATTAATTTGCTAAATACTCCCTCTGTTTCTCTCTGTTTCACAAATAATATTATCTTAAAGTTTTATTTTTGTTTCACAAAGATTGTCATTCTACATTTTAAATGTGATTTTTACACTATTTTTTTTACCCTTACCCAAAGCTATTTTTCATTGAATTTAAATCATTAATTACTTAGTAAATTAGGGCATATATGTATAATATAATGTTTTCTTAATTAATTTAAAATGATTACACTCTTTGTAAAACAGAGGGAATAGTAAATATTGGAAAAGTAAAAAAATAGGAAACTGTTACATATTATTTTTTTGGGGGATGAGTTATTTAATCTATATATAATAGCAATCTCAATAAATATCTTTTGCATTTGTGAACGGTTGTGTTTTTTAATCGCAACTTTTTGTTATTTAAAAAAAAACTAAAATATATATTTTTCGGTTATGTCTTTTGGAAAATTGCAATCTGAATGTCTTCTACGGTTGCATCTTTTTATTTTTACTCTTCATAAACAGTTGCAACAGCTTATTCGAATCATTGCAATATTTAATTTATTTCACAAATAATTGTAACATTTGGTTTATATATTTAGTTTATTTCACGAACAATTGCAACTTTTGGTTTATTTTATAAATTGCTATGACATTTAATTATCTACCGTTGCGTCTTTCAGTATAACTTTTCATAAATTATTATTTTTTATTTTTAATTACCAAAATATATTTAAATGAGATTGTAACCGTTTAATTGAACCATTAAAACATTTGGTTTATTTAACGAATCATTGCAACTTTCGGTTTTGTTTTACGAAACGTTGTAATCTTTAGTTTATTTGACGAACTTGACGAACCGTTGCAACTTTCGATATATCACAACATTTCGTTTATTTTTTTATTAAACTAAAAAATATATTTTACGTTATGTTTTTTGAAAAAATTGCAATCCGAGTAAATATATTTTATCGTAACTCTTCATAAAATGGTTGCAACCGTTTTGTTGAACCATTGCAATATTTAGTGTATTTCACAAACAATTGCAACCTTAAGTTTATTTTATAAATCATTATAACATTTTATCATCTACCGTCGGTGTAACTTTTCTTCATAAATTATTATTTTTAATTTTTAATTTTAAATTACTAAAAGATAACCATTTAATTGAATTGTTGAAATATTTGGTTTATTTGACGAATTTTTGTAACTTTTGGTTTTGTTTTAGGAACCATTATAAACTTTAGTATATTTGATGAACCATTGCAACTTTGGATATATTTGATATATACGGTCGCGTCTCTCGGTTAAAGTTTATCATTTTAAAAAATATATATATTTAGTTACTAAAATATATTTAAATGAATTGTTGTTACTGTTTAATTTAACATAGTAGCATTTGGTTTATTAGTCAAACTAATGAACATTTGGTTTATTAGTCGAACTAATGAACATTTTGGCTTATTTATCAAACTGTTGTAACCTTTGGTTTATTTGATGTCTTTTGCACTTGAGAATAGTTATTTAGTTATAAATTAATGTTTTTCTAATACTAATATACTTAATAAATATTTCTGAAGGTTTTCTTTATCATAATTTTCGTAATATATATATTGATTTATTATTAAAAAAAATTAAATTGTTACAATTCATTATGACTTTTCGTTTGATATTTTTTCTAAACGTTTTTTGAAGTATTTTCCCCGCGACATCGTGGGGATTCTAATTCCTAGTATTCAAAAAAAAATTATTTTGATTCGTTTGATATTTAGTCCTTGTTGAATCGACTCCTAAATACTACTTTGCATAGCATGATAGACGTACACTTACGGTCACTTAATTTTCATAAATTATAAACTTCGACTATATATGTTGGATATCTAATTTTTGACGGCGTCGCATATGACTGTTTATTTAGAAATATCTTAGGTGCACGGTCCTGAAAAGAAAAAAACAAGATGAGTTCACCTGGATGACAACATGGAATATCACACCATTGATTTAAAACACTCTTGGTATCAGAGTCAAAAGTTAGAAGATTCATATTACGTGAGTGATTTGGTCTCAATTTAGAGGTACAATTGCCACTACACCTAACTTTAGTGAGTATGATGGTATATAGGTTCCAAGGTTATGAAATAAGTTGACTCATATAAATGTTAAGGATAATGTGTTCGTGAATGATGGTTTTGAACATCCATTGTGGGAGGCTAATGAATAGTTTGATCAATGGCGCAAGGAATGTGTAGGAAATACCATTAGTTTGTTTTCTTATTGAAGTCTAACGAGCATTAATTCCATGCAATCAGTGCACATTTCACTCCATCTACCAATCTACCATTGATGAAACTTCAACTTCTTTTTATGATCCTGTTCTTAAGAATAAGCTTAGTAGATTATTCTCTCCTGATCATTCGACATCAAAAAAGTGCGTCTTATGAGAATAACTTACCATTTTCTTGAAGAAGTGTCATGATTCGATTGGTGAGTCTCATGCATTAATCAAAAGTTATAAATTTTTCTAGAGAGAGTCATCTTGCATTTCTTGACATTGATTGCATATATTCTATGATTACCTATGAGGCTATGACCTATTTCTATATATGTTATAATTGATGTATTTACATGGTTTTTGGGATTTTACAATAAGGAAAAAACCGCCATCTAATTTTTATTTGGCCGTTTAATACATATAGTATTAAATTTGGAATAAATTACCTCATTTAATTTTGGTTGCATTTTAAAACCTTTGTTTTTTAAGAATTGGTAAAATCGTACCTCCGAGTTAACGATGGTTAACTTTGCTAACGGAAGCGCTAACTGCGGTAAAAACTTAACCTATGGTGTTTACGTATATACAATCCCTTTTCAAAGTTTGACAAATATATTGTCTTAGTCAGGTGGTTAAACGTGGGTTAACTACCTTACTGAACATAGGTTCGATTCCCCCCTCCATTTCTTTTAGACGTTTTTATTTGTTTTTAATTTTTTTTTTACTTCATCGAAGAGAAAAAGAGGAAGCGATCTCCAAGAGAGAGTCACTGGATCGAAGAGAAAAGGAGGCAAAATCGTAGGATCCTGTAGAAAGATACAAAGGAGATGCAAGAGATTGTTGATGTTGTTGTTGCTTCGGCTATGACGGAGTTAAATTAGGGTTTTGGAAGAGAGAAGTGTACCATGATTTACAGGTCGATTTGATGCGAGATATGTGAGGGTAAGGGACGAAAGAGAGAATCAGTCTCGCTACATCATTGAATAAGCCTGGAATTAAGGTTAACCTTTGATCGATTCGAGGCTTAGATCGAAGAAACGAAGATCGCGACGAGGATGACGATGAAGAGAAACATTGTAACCGCGACGAGAATATAGGTAAAGGTACTCTACTAAGCATACCAATTCTTCCATATAGTGAATTGATCCTCCGCATCTCTATCTCTCTCTCGTTCTTAGCTGCACCCGAAAAACGTCGGACGGGGGTAAGGGGAATCAAACCCAGGTTCAGTAGGATAGTCAACCCACGTTTAACCACCTAACTAAGATAATATATTCGTAAAGTTTTGAAAAGAGATTGTATATATATACGTTAACACCTTGGGTTAAATGGATTAAGTTTTAACCGTAGTTAGTGCTTCCGTTAGCAAAGTTAACAGTCGTTAACTCGGGGGTACGATTTTACCAATTTTTAAAAAACAAAGCTTTTAAAATGCAACCAAAATTAAATGAGGTATTTTTATTCCAAATTTAATATTACATGTATTAAAAGGCCAAATAAAAATTAGATGGCGGTTTTTTTGGATTTTTTTCTTTTACAATAAAACTTTCATTGAAAGTTTATTTATTTAAAGCGATTAGAAATTCTCTCCCTATATAATTAGTGATGAAAATGAGATATTGAATTTTAATTCAATTAGTGGAGATGATCCATTAAGGTATATTTTCTTTTCTTGTGTTTACTTTCACAACGAAACTGTGTGAAATATGTCTGGGAAAGGCTCTTACTATTTGACCTTCATTTCTTTCCTCATCTTAGTTTTTTTTTCAGGTCTTATTTGAGTCCCTTTTTCATTTGTAGAGTAGTTGTTTTTGAGTCTCTTTATTCTTGGAACTGTGAAAGATTTCTCTTGGAATTATTCGAGATTTGAATGCACTGCCCTTGCTAATGCTACTTTGATACTTGAACAAATTTAAAGTTTTGAAAAATTCAAAATTGGAACTCTCTTCTTGAAAGTCCATACCATCTTGAAACTTATAATTTTGGTTCAATTATAAGATTATTAGACTTAAAATTTGGACTAGAATTCTCACTCTAGGGGTTGAAAAGGAATGTCTGGTTTTAGCTCAACTGATTTATCTTTTGAGTTTTTATCATTCTTTGTTAACTTTAATAGCCATTTTAACTTTTAAGATGGGTTCTATACTTCTACCTTTATAGTAACTTTTACTTTCCAAAATTTGAAAATCTGACTGACTAAGACATTTTTGTGTGCTTTACATATACAAAAAAACTTAAGAGCATAGGAACTACAAGTTTTCTCTTCCATTTGAAATTAATCCATTGCTTCAAAGACTATATTTATACGAAAAGAAAAAGAAAAAAAATAAGTATGAAAAATGTGTGAATTTCCTTTCCGTGTTTAAAAGATAAATGAAAGGAAAATTCTCACCATTAACGAGAAAATAAAAGAAGAAAAAAAAGGAGTTTCCTTATAGAAAAGTGTTTTGTCAATTATTGTTTCCCTAGCTAGTGTATGTGAAACAAAACGATTGTCTAAGTGCTTATTAACTACCATGCTAAAATAACATTTGGCTTTTGAGTTTAAAAGAAAGAAACTCATATTTACAATAATAGAAGATTAAGATAAAAGCTTAAGATGGGACTTGGGAGAGACCTCATATGCATAAAATGTTCCCATTCTAATTCATTACATGTTAAACCCGCATTGCTTTCATCAGCATTTTTCTACCAAACCGAAAGCATGATTGATAATATTGTGTGATTCAAATCTCCAAAATTTGTTTTATTGTATGATTAAAAAAATCCCCGATCTTATAATATACATCTACCTTTTGTTTATGTCCTTGCTGTCCACTATCAAAAATAAAAAGAAAAATACAGATAGGATAACAAATACATCGGAAACTCAAAGGAAATGAGAGAATAAATACAAATAAATAATACTTCCAAATTATATACTCTAATTTAACAAGGAAAAACATTTTTTTAATATAAAACGATTTTAAAAAAAAATTCTAAGCATTAAATAGAAGAAAAAAAAAGTGTACGTGTGGGTGTGGGTCAGAATAATTAAATAATTTTGTACGTGTGGGTTTTTAAGTCAAAAGAATCAACACCGTCTACTTTCACTATAGCTAATAATGTCGGGACAATGTCTCCTAATAGATCACCTCCCTTAGCTTCCTCTGCATTATATATTCACCATTCTTCGTCTTTGTTCCTCAACAGGGCTCACATTCTCTATCAACCAAAACTTTTCTTCTACTTCTCTCTCTCTATCTATATCTCTATATTGTTGAGCTACAAGTGAAAGTACTTGTACTTGCTATAGTGATCACCAAGTTATAGCATCTAAAAATGTTGTCTAGCAAAGTTATTGGCGACTCACATGGACAAGACTCATCCTACTTCCTTGGATGGCAAGAATACGAGAAGAATCCTTTCCACGAAACCTTTAACCCTAGTGGGATTGTTCAAATGGGTCTTGCTGAAAACCAGGTTTGTATGAATCTATTAACTATTTTAACATATAGAAAACAAAACTAGTATGTACATAATTTCCGAGTTTTCGTTCTTCAAAACATATAGAAAACAAAACTAGTATGCTCTCTACTTATCGGTTATTGTTTCCGTTCTTTGTGCAGCTTTCTTTTGACCTAATAGAGACGTGGCTTGAAGAGCATCCAGAAGTCTTGGGTTTGAAGAAAAATGAAGAGTCGGTGTTTAGACAATTAGCTCTGTTCCAAGATTACCATGGCTTGCCAGCTTTCAAGGATGTAAGTAACATCAACTACTCCTACTACATACTAAACTAGAGTACTGAAGCTATGATACTAAGTATTCTATGCTTTTACGCGACAGGCCATGGCGAAATTCATGGGGAAGATCAGAGAGAACAAAGTGATATTCGATACGAACAAGATGGTGCTCACAGCTGGCTCAACCTCGGCTAACGAGAGTCTAATGTTCTGTCTTGCTAATCCAGGAGATGCATTTCTTATCCCTGCACCTTATTATCCAGGGTACGTGTATACTTTTACACTTAACGTTTTTGAATATATTAGCGTTAGTTACAAGAGAGACTAAATTTGTTTGTTGGCTGATCATGAAGGTTTGATAGAGATCTCAAATGGAGAACAGGAGTAGAGATTGTTCCTATCCATTGTGTAAGCTCAAATGGGTACAAGATAACGGAGGATGCATTAGAAGATGCTTACAAACGAGCTCGCGAACTTAACCTAAACGTTAAAGGAGTTCTCATAACAAACCCTTCAAACCCTCTTGGAACCTCTACCACCCGTGAAGAGCTTGATCTTCTTCTGACCTTCACATCCACCAAGAAAATCCATATGGTAAGCGATGAGATCTACTCGGGAACGGTTTTCGACTCTCCTGAGTTCACCAGCGTTCTAGAAGTGGCTAAGGACAAGAACATGGATTTGGATGAGAAAATCCATGTTGTTTACAGTTTGTCCAAAGATCTAGGCCTCCCTGGATTTCGTGTAGGTTTGATTTACTCAAACAATGAGAAAGTGGTGTCAGCCGCGACGAAAATGTCCAGTTTTGGACTCATTTCTTCCCAAACTCAACATCTGCTAGCCAATTTGTTGTCTGACGAAAGATTCACGACCAACTACTTGGAAGAGAACAAGAAGAGGCTGAGAGAGAGAAAAGACAGGCTTGTCTTGGGTCTAAAGGAAGCGGGGATCGGTTGCTTGAAGAGCAATGCAGGTTTGTTCTGTTGGGTTGACTTAAGACACCTCTTGAGTTCCAACACTTTTGAGGCCGAGCACTCTTTATGGACAAAGATTGTGTGTGAAGTTGGTCTTAACATCTCTCCAGGCTCATCGTGTCATTGCGATGAACCTGGTTGGTTTAGAGTTTGTTTCGCGAATATGTCCGACCAAACGATGGAGGTCGCTATGGACCGTGTTAAAGGTTTCGTAGAGAACAATACTCGTGGTAAGCAAAAGAGAACCATGTGGGATACAAGAAGAAGATCTCTTATCAACAAATGGGTCTCCAAGCTTTCCTCTGTTACCTGTGAATCAGAACGTTGATCGATTTTTCGAAGAATATCTCGTTGATTGCTTTTTCATATTATTATTGTTTTTTTCATATGGTTTTTCACTCCAGATTTGGCGCAAGCCATTCTGGAGTTTAGCTCTACAAAATAAAGGAAATAAGTACTGTTTTTTTTTTTTTTAATGGGAGGGTTTGTATTGAAGGGTCCTGTTTTTATTTTGTTTATTTGAGTAACTAAATTGTATTCTTTTATTCTTTCATATTCATATAATACTGTAATCATTGAATAAAATTATTTCTTTTTCTATTAGTACATGGAAAGCTCTGTTGAACGAAAGTATTCACGAACTGAAAAAATTACCTGGGAAGTTGCCAAATTGAACAAGAAACATTATATTTCTGAATGCCAAAAATACAATGAGAAACTTGACAATAGATTATGAAGCCAAAGAACAGCTGAATTAAAACAAACTAGATCCGGACCCGCACATACGTGCGGGGTTTTATTTGTATTTGAATTTTTATATGTATATAACATTTAATGCTAGATACCCGTTACATGTATTCAATCTGTTGCCTGATTTGTATCCGTCTCAAGAAAAGGGTAGTCGTGATCTTAGGGTCGGGTAAAAGATATTGTAATTCTATTACTTGTGGCCGGTAGATAAGGGTCGAGTATCGAGTATTTATATTTTGTAATACTTATCTCGTTATTCGATCTGTTTCTCACTTTACTACACGACCCGTAAATGTTTTATTTGTGTTTTATAATATTACTAAAATTTTATAAATATATCTTATAGTAAAAGATAAATCCTAAGTCTGTAATTTTATACTTTTGGAAATGGAAATATATGTTGTATAGTTTTATGTTTTTTTTTTGTTTTTTAATATATTTTTATGTATATTTATGTTGGGCCTATTTTGCATATTGGCCCAAAAACCTTTTTCTTGTTAAGTGGCTAACGACACGTTTTCTCTCCCGTAGCTCCTCTTCTTCATCGAACACTTCTTTTCTTCTTCTTCTTGCTTAATCATGATGGTATTATCCATCTTCTTCTTCTCACTCTCTTCACCTTCACTTTTTGAGCTTTTTGTTTGAGAGATAGGGACTTTCTAGACGTTTTCTCTTCTCTTATGCAGTATTAAGCAGAAAATCAATTTCCAATAGACACCATAAAAAATAAAAAAAATTGGTACTGCAATTCGTTCTCTTTCCCAAAACACACAAATCTTCTTCTTTTTTGTTCTTTCATGCTTAGGGTTCTTTCGATTAATAGAGTAAATCATTTTCTCCATCAACGATCAGAGAATCTAGTCGATTAGTAATCTAGGGTTTTTATTTTCCGTTTTTGTTTCTGGTTACTCACCTATCGCGAGGAGGACGATGCGGTTTCTGAACTGCGAGTTAGAGTTGAAGATGATGTAGTTCAGAAATTAGGCCATTATATTAAACTTAGTGAGGACTTCGAAGTATTTCTCAGGAAGCAGAGCATGAAGAGGAAGAAGATTCTTTATCACCGTCTTCTTTTTCTTCTTGTGGACGGGATAGATCTGTGTGGTTATGTTCAAGCTTGGTCTTTTATTCGTGATTCTAACTACTTTGGGTCTCGCTGGTTACAAATGGCTCGCTCCTTCAATCATGGATAACGTTTAAAATTTCCTCCTTTAAAGATAATTCAGTGCATGTTCCATTACAATGGTTCCTTGTTCCTAAAATCCAGTGTTGAATTGATGTTGAATTTGTTCTGTTCTGTGGAAATTTTAGATCTTTATCAATTGTGTTCTGTGGAAATTTTAGATCTTTATCAATTGGGTTTGATTAGGATTTCATCAATTAATCATCACTCTTGAATAAGATCGTAAGTACTGACCACAAGTCTGTATGATGTAATTGTTCGTCTAGTGTAGAAAAAAAGTTCATTTATAAGATTGGTTCATATTTCATGTGAATTTGTATATGCCATTACCTTAAGATCCGATTAGCCCAAATAAGGTTTGAAGTTAATGTCCTGTGGCTAATTTTTGATACCTATATAGCTATTGCTCTTAACATATCAAGTCCATAACATCTTTGGCTTTGTAACAACTACCTTTGTTTGCAGGAGCTAAACCATCTCGCAAAATGGGAGATCAGACATTTGCAAACCCGGTAAATATATTTTTGTCAAAATATAATGCTTTATTTTCCCTTGTCATACTCTTTTTGATATTGATGATGGATGATTCACGTTCATGGTTTTGAAATTTTCTTTCCAATTGCATTCTCTAGCTATCCACTAAAATTTACTTTGGAATGGACATTTTTATTATTGCTCGTGATACTTTGTTCAGCTTTTAATTCTTAGAGCTAGCATCTCTTGATCTTATGGTTGAAGAAATAGTAAACAATTGAGAAGAAAGAAATATTGCTTAGTCTTTGTTTCAAATTTGACAGTTCATAATTATTAAGGTCACATAGTCACTGCTTTGAGTTTTTTTTTTTTTTTGAATATACAGAAATCATTACAATGTTAAAAGAACATCTGCTGAAGAGTGCTATATTTTGGCATTAGAAATTCGATAGCAATCGATTTTGAGAAGTAGCTACAACAAAGGTAAATTCTCTTCTTGAATCATCTTGAATGTTTATTAGAGCAATAGCAATAGAGACATCATCAGACATGATAATAAAAGTTTACAATCAATTAAAGAAACTAAGAAACAAAAAAGACACTAGTAGAAATTTATTCTATTGCCACGAAACAGTCACAGTCATTCCGTGGCTGGTTTAAAATCAGTCACGAAATTGTCATAAACTGTCACGGAAATAATAAATCACAAAAACGTGACTTTTCCGTGGTGTAATCGTGGCTATATTTGCCACAATAGAGTCACGGTTTAAAGGTGTCTATCACTGCCACGTTTTTGTGACGATAAAGACGTGACTATCTTGTCACGAACTAGTACCGTGGCGTTAGCGTGACTAACTAGCCACGATATAGCCACATAATATTCGTGACTAGCAATATGGTCAAATCAAATATTTAGAAACCATAGCCACAAATAATTCGTGACATTTTTCGTGACATTTCCACCGAAAAAAACGTCCCCTCAGTCTCAGACTTTGTAGTGGAGCAGAGAATATATTCGAAAATGAGTCACGGTTGAAAAATCGTGACATTTCCGTGTCTGAAAATTGCCACGAAAGTTATCCGTGGATATTCCGTGACTCTCTTTTAGCTCTACAAACCACAAATTCTCTCTCCGACCGCATAATTGTTTCAATTTGTCTTCATTTCTTATCTTCACTTCTCTTCCTTTGTTTTTTCTTTGGCCAAACCACTTCTCTTCCTCTCAAATTTCTTGATCATTTTCTCTTTTCTTTATTAGTTCTTATGTCTCATCATTATTTTTCTTCAAGAGAGTGGATGGATCAACATAAAGATCCAATCACAAATTGTGTAACAAATGAATTTTATGAGGGAGTTGAAGCTTTTCTTGCATTTGCTTCTAATCAAGTTTCTTACCAAGAAAGAGGTACTATGTTGTGTCCTTGTGCAAGATGTAAAAATGGAAAGCAACGTGATGCAAAAACTATATCTAGTCATCTATGTCGAGTTGGGTTTAAGGGAAACTACTACGTTTGGTCGCACCATGGAGAACATTATTATGATGTTGGCGAATCTTCGAGGGCAAATCATTTTACCGGTGAAGAAGCAATGTGGGATGGAGAACCTACAATTTTTCCGACAGATAATTATCAGAATTTTCCTTACGACAATATTAATGTGGGACAAGATGTGTCATCGCCCCATGTCATGGAGAATGTGATGGAGTCAACCAACGAAGAGCCATATCACGATAGCGTTTTTCGAGCTTTTGAAGAAGCCAATCAACCCCTTTACGATGGTTGTGCTGAAGGTATTTCTCAACTATATGTGGCTTCGCGTATGTTGAAAGCAAAGAGCGATTACAATATGGTTGAGGCATGTGTGGATGAGATATCGCAGACTTTTAGAGATGTGTTGCCCAAGCCAAATACAATGCCTGCATCATATTACGAGACAAAGAAGCTGACACGAGCACTTGGGCTACCTGTTGAAAAGATTGATGTTTGTGAGGATAATTGCATGCTTTTTTGGAAGGAAGATCACTCACTATTATGTTGCCGGTTTTGTGGTAAAGATAGATACCACCCAAACAGTGGGAAGGGAAAAAATCGGCCTAAACAAAGAATGTTCTATATGCCAATTACAGAGCGGTTGAAGCGGCTTTACCAATTAGAGAAAACTGCATCCCAAATGCGATGGCACGCTGAACATTTGTCTCCTGAAGGAGAAATGCATCACCCGTCAGATGGAGCCGCATGGAAGCATTTTAATGAGGTATATCCCGAGTTCGCTGCAGAAAGTCGCAATATTTATCTAGGCTTATCAACAGATGGATTTAATCCTATTGGTATGAATGGTGAGGCACACTCGGTTTGGCCTGTGATCGTCACTCCTTATAATTTGCCTCCCGGCATGTGCATGAAAAGAGAATATTTCTTTTTATCGGTACTAGTTCCCGGGCCAAAACATCCAAAAAAAAGTCTGGATATTTATCTTCAGCCATTGATTGAAGAATTGAAGAGTTTGTGGAGTGACGGTGCAGAAGCATATGATGTATCAAAGAAACAAAAGTTTACGATGCGAGCTGCATTGATGTGGACAATCAGTGACTTTCCAGCGTATGGCATGCTCTCAGGTTGGATGACCCATGGTCGTTTAGCTTGTCCTTACTGTCTAGATCAGACAAAATCATTTTGGTTACAAAATGGCAGGAAACATAGTTGGTTCGATTGCCATAGAATGTTTTTGCCTGCAGGTCATCCTTAAAGGCGAAATGTGCAAGCGTTTACACAAGGCAAAACAATGATAGAAGATTGTCCACCATGGTTGAATGGGGAAGAAATTCTTTATGAAAGGATAAATAACATTGAGGGGTTGTACAAAACAGTCGATTGTGGAGGAAACGGACACGAGAAGCCCGCTCGAACTGTCAGTGGATACGGAGTTGAACACAATTGGGTGAAAAAGAGTATATTTTGTATAGACACGATTGTTTTTCGTGTATGAGCGTGACTATATGGTTCTATAGCCACGAAATTTTAGTCTTAGTCACAAAAAATTCCATAACTATACACTTTGTTTTTACTAGTGAGAAGAGAAAAGTTTGTTCCATGACGTTATCCCATTAAGAAGTCTGCAACATAGTTTACATTTTTCGTTATTTCAGTGATATCTACAAAGAACAAATACTAATTGAGACTACTTACAATGAAACCATGTGCCATCACAATAACTCTATATTCTCCAACTTTAAGAACTCTTAGAAGGATCGGCTAGCTAACTTTTTTGTGAGTGGCAACAACAACATAAAAGATTTCGTTTGAAAGGTTAGTGAGTAAATACAATGGTATTAGACATTCTATATTTATAGGGAGAAAGGTCGGCTAGCTAATTTTAGGGTTTAAAGTATCATATATGGAATAAAATATTTGCGAATCCATTTTTTGAAGAAAGATTTAAGGTATATACTTGATTAGTTAGGTTATGAATATTTAGTTATTGTTATTTTTGGTAAATATATTATCCGAATTCGTATCATATCGAAAACAACCATCAAATTTGGAGATTTTTTAAACTAAATCTTGTTACCTTTACTATCTATCCTTATTTTATATTCGAAATTAAAGGGATACGTTTGTTTTGGGTATATCTTAAATGATATATGTCATTTTTGGTTTCGAAATAATTTTTAGTATATTGCAAGAAATATCTAATAACAACATTGCCAAATCTTAACCAAAATTGATTGTCACAGGATCCGCTTGATTGTTCCAAAATTGCCATATTCCAACAGTCCGGGTCGGGTCCATGATCCGCGTGTCGATCCGCCAAATAAGCCCAGAATCCGCGTGTTTATCCGATCCACTCGCCCAAGATCCATGGGTATTTTGCTTGTAAATTATGATTTTGCCCTTCAACGATTTTTTTCATTTACTTTTTGATTGTAATTATCCCAATGGCATTTTTTGTAATTCTTTACCCTTTATAAGGTTATTTATTATCCAATGCTTCCCAATTAATAGTATAGATGTTCAGACAATAACATTTATGACAAACCCCATTTTTTGTTGGTTTCTTTTGATTTTACTTTAACCTTTTTTGACTTTAACATTTATGACAAACCCCAACTTTTTGTACCGCTTAAAAACATAACATCTTTTTTTTTTTTTTTTTTTTTTTCCTCAAACATAATCATCTAATTCCTTAACTATATACTACCGACACCTATATAAGCAATTGGGCTTAATGGCCCATCGTCTTCTTCTCAGCAATTTTAATGGCCGATCCTGGAATCAAAACCTTGTGGCTTTAAGGAAGGGAGACTTGGTTTGGACAAAAGAGGTATCGGGCTGAAGAATGAAATAATAGAGATACCAAACATGTTTTGTGTATTAAGCCAGAGCTCAAGTCCATGAATATGAGCCCATATACAAAGGACCCTAGGGTCTTATAAAACATGTATCTTTTTTTCTTCAAAATATTAGTTTGTCTAAATTTAAACTATAGTGCTGTCTTCTGTGTAAAGAAACAAATCAAAAGTAATTATAAGAAATATATAGAGAATGAGAAGAAAAAATGTATTAAGGAGGAAAACATGAAAATCTATGAAACAAGGATCAAGAGTTGAATATTATTATTAAAATCTAAAAGTAATAAAAGAATCAGTACAAAAAAAAAAAAAAAAAAAAAGACGACTATGTGTACGATCTTTCGTCACAATAACTTTTTTTTTTTTTTTTTGTGGTATCCACGACCTGTGTATGATCTTCCTCCAATTTTGTGTCAAATTCACCACTAAACCGGCCAAACTATGCATTCTGATGTAATGCTTTCGCATAAGTGTCTTACAAGACTGAAACTGTTTTCCAAGAAAAGATGGTTTTGAGACTTATTAACGACAATATTATCCTTGAGTTATACATTCTATCGATGGTTCTTACAAATTTTGGATTTCGTTTTAGCTTTTGTAACTGTGGGAACGCATGTAAGAGACAGCAAATCCATTAGATCAATTTGGGTTTTCTCTTTCGATGCCAAACATTTCATACCATATAGAGTCAAGAACAAAATAAACAATGGAGCAACACATTTGCAAAATACCATTTTCTTTTCACACTTTATTAAATAAAACATTACTAAAAATAAATACACAAAAAAGAAAGTGAAAATAAATTGAAGGGATCTCTGTCTTAAACTCCCCGAACGACATAATACATTACAAAACGAGTAAAACCAATAAAGCTATAAGTAGCAAAGTGATGTAGGGGAGTTCAAAACATAAATTGTAACAAGAAAGCAACAAGAAGTTGTTATTTTGTGGCTAACGCTTTTAGATGTCTTATGGACCAAGACGATAAGGTCCATCACCCATGTAATGACCATCCATGTACAGAGCTGCGTGGTGTGGGTGCTGCAGACCATCCATCACCATGAACTGCATGTCTTCAGACGGTTTCCAGTGACGCTTTCTTTGGTTTATGAACCAATTGTTGATTTGTTTCTGATCTAACCCGGTTGATTCCGCCAACGCCACCTTCTCTGATTCCTGCCACACAACTCAAGCTACCCATCATCACTTTTGTAGTAATCAAAGTATAAAAAGAAACGATAGAAAAAATCGTAAACCGGGTTTAAAAAACTGCTAGATAGTTGGACGATGACCTAAAGTTTGTTCTTCTGAACGATTCTACAAGTAACGACTAGCTATATATATGTTCTCTTGTTATCTTTTTAATAACATGTCATTTATATTTATGAATATTAAACATGTTTCTTCAGTATAATTACAGTCGATTAGATTAGTTAAACTCATTAAAAACTAATATAATTACAAAATTTTATTGTTTCAAAATATATCAATAAATATTTCATCACAAACTTAAATTCTTATAAGTATTTAAGTATATATCTTATTAATAATTAATGTGTATAGTGAAAAAGTGATTGATATGTATTAGAAAATGGTATGCACAAGGATTAGAACACCAAGACTAAGATATGTAACCTAGTGACTAATATCAATGTCGTCATCATTCAGATTTAAAACCATGTATTGTTGGATTTAAACACCAAATGGGTCATGCAAGTACCTACTTGGCCTAACATAGCCGCTTAAGAGGGACTTCCTAGCTTAAAGATTGGTTTTTAAAACACTTAATTTGTAGTATATTTATGAGGGCATAAAGAGATGAGAGAAAGTTTATACGTACAGAAGGATACGGCCACTTGTAATGCAACTCCCACCACGTGAGAAGCTTCTGCCGTGCTTCTTTGGGAAGTTTACCTTTCTTTTTCTTCTTGGATAGTTCTTGCTTCAAACTGCTTAAGTATCCACTATACTTCTTCAGCAAGTGGTTCTTGAGTTCCCGATCTTCCGCCCTCGGGTCTATTTCAGGTAATTCTGTTTCCCCTCCACTGTTATTCTCTTGTTCTTCGTCTGATGATCCCATATTATCACTTTTCCCATCTGCTTCAACATATTATATTTTCATTTTAGTCATTTAACAACATTTTAGTCATCTACCTTTATGATTAGACTAATTATTCCGAGTAGAGATTTTAATGATTTTGCATAATGAAATCGAAGAAGATAATGTTCCCAAATAAATCTTCACGAGCAGCACCAAAAGTTCTTGTGATAGTACTTTGGGCCGAGTGAAAAGAAAAAAACCAAAAATAAGCCCCACCCATCTTTGGATGGATTCCACAATGGGGAAAACAAGAACAAATATGCACACCTATTTGTATCTTACATATTTTCCAACAATAATGCATCTCAATTATCTTAATCATCCTATAATCTTAATTAACATTTGAAGATTTATGTCTACTAAGAATTTTTTTTTTTTTTTAGTATCTGAATGGTTACAACAATTTACCATGAACCAAAGAAACATGCCAATTCATGCAATCCATCATAAGCCCTACCTTACCACTACACTTTGTTTTCTCCAACCATTTCTTACATGTGCATATATGTACGTATGTATGATGTATGTATGTATGTATATGTGAGATTGATGACATGTACCAGGATTGTTGAGGATATGAATGGGACTCTGACACAACATGCTAAGCTGAGATTCAATACGACGAATAAACTCCATTGCTTCTTGAATGGGCCGTGTTAGCTCCTCTCGATATTTAACCAACATGTCACAATATGCTTCCTATTCATACAAAAAAAAAAAATCAAGATTTCTAACATATATACACAACAAAGAACTAACCCATTTAAAATTCAACTTTGATTAGTAACTAACCATGAATTGATCCAATTCCGGGTCTCTAGACGAGGCAGACACAGACGGTGTTGACCGCTGTTGTCGAGCCTCAAAGTCTTGCCGAGCCGCAGTAATTCTATCAACCACTTCAGGTGGAGCTCCAATCTGTATAAGCCATGACCCATGAACATACATAAATATGTCACAAAGAAGTATATATTATATCTAAACCCAATAAAAAAGTATACATTATTTCATAATAATAAGAATAAAACCAAACCTTTTGGCAGTCCAAGTAAGCTTGTAGGAGGGTAGAGTAGTGAGGATGAGCAATGATCTTGGCCTTCATTGCTTCAACATCGCTTACGTTATCATTGTTGTTGTTGTTAGCTTCTTGAGTATTGTGGATGGCTCTCATCAACATGGAGTAGTGATTGATTCTTGAGGAGCTAGCTTCAGATTTAACAGATGGGTTGTTGTTGTTGGGTTGATCATGATCGGATCGGAAGCAATTCTCGTTATTTTGAGGGAGAAGAGAGCTCATATGTGGGAACAACATGTGTTGGTGATGATGATTGTGGTTATTAGTACTATTGTAGCCAGGACCATAATTGCTACTATTATTATTGCTGTTGTTGTTGTTGTTATCGTTTGTGTTATCGTTTTTGTTGGAAGAAGAGATTGGAGAGTACAAGAAACTTACTCTTTGAGGAGTGGAGCTGTTGTCATGCTGGTATTCTTCCATACCCAGATGAGTAAAATTTGAGAGAGAGAAAGAGAAGAATATAAAAATTGATAGGATAAAATTAAAAAAAAAAACAAAACAAAACCCTAAAAAAATAAAAAGGATGGGTGCAAGATGAAGAGGATGTATGTATTCTTGCTTTTGTTCTTATTTCAATCAAAGGTCTCTCTGTAAGACTATAACCACATCAAATCCAGATGACTAGACGACTCATCTATGAAATCAAAAAGGCCTAACTCAAAATATAAAAAGAAAGAAAAAATATTGTGAGGTGAAGTTGCACCCAAAGAAAAACCAAATAAATTGAAAATGATATATTTTGAGGAAGAAAAAACGAACTAGGAATATAGAACTCGTCAAGGAAGTGACATGGAAGAGTAAATTAGAAAAAAAGGTGTGAGAGAAAGAGAGAAGAAGAGAGAAAGAGAGAGAGATTAACAATAATGAAGAAGTTGGGTGGCTTGAGTGGATTGACAAGACGTCGTTTGCTTTGAGAGCAAAAAGAAATATTTGAAAATTAAAATAAAGGTAAGAGAGAAGGGACAAGAGATAAGGCAAAGGCTTCTCTCTTCTGTTTTCCTCTCATAGGCTATTTTATATATTCAAATAAGTCTAAGTATTTTAGTAAATTAAAATGTGGTTTGAATTTTAGAATTAAGATGTACCACTCAGTGTTTAAGCAACTAGGTCTTCGCGGCTACTTCAGCTATGGTTTCTTGCTAGGTTGAATGATATATTTTGTACTATTTTCTGGTCATTCATTTTTTTGGCTTAAAAGAAGATAAATATATATATATATATATATATATATTTTTTTTTTTATTATTATTATTATTATTATAAAGAAAACCGTTACAAGACAGGTTATGGGTTTGTCCTCTTTCGATTTTGGTTTGAAATTTCTTGCTTGGTGACTCGTTTATCTTTAGTTTCCCTTCCATAGGGCTTTGACTCCGGGGAAATTTCGTTTCCTCCGGCTTTGACTCCGGGGACTAGTTCGTTGTCCGTCGGCTTTAGCTTCCCTCTTTTGGGCGTCTGTAATTTTCTTTGGTTCCAACTTGGTTTATTAATATAATTCAGATGACAAAAAAAAGACAGATATGTATGATTCACACTTCTAATACAATAAAAACCCAAGAATTTGTTGAAGATAGGGTTCGTTCAAAAAATTGTGATCATGGGTCACATTAATTCGACATTTTGAAGAGGAGACTACGTTTATCTTGTTCTGGTCCCCGGCTCACGCAGATGTACGGATCTTTGCCTAAAACTTTACGATAACAAAAAAGATAATAATTAATATTAATATTAATATGATAGAAATTTTATGCAAGATGTTTTGTTGATATGTAAATATCAGTAATCTTAAATGTTTTTGGATTTTGTCAAATGGATGAATTTCTAATATTCTTTTTTCGTAATTTCGTATGTATATTGGTGGAGAGACACTATCCGAATATATGTTATCGGATAGAAGATTGCATTAGAAACCGAGAAAGAAAAAAAAGGAATTATAAAAATGCTTTACCAGATAGTGGATATTATACGATATTCTGCTAATTCCAACTATTGGCTCTATGATAAGACCATGCTGCAAACACACTTCTTTCAACACTTGTTCTGTTCCACGGTCAACATTCAATTTTATATTTAATCTCAATTTATATTTCATGATTCATGAAACGTATAGAGTGCCTATGAATTCTATTTTATACAAAAAGAAACGAAAATCCTAGGGCTTTTTTTATATATATAAATCGTCAAATCCTAGGGCTCTAGATTAAAGTTTGCTCCTCGAAACTTTTTTTTTTGTACCACAACACTGCAATATACCTAAACTTATATTGTGAGAGTTTGGAAACAAAAAAATTAAGAGTTTTTAAAAATTATGGCTAGCTATGCGGAACGATTTTAATAATAATATAAATATTTAAAACTTATATTGTGAGACTTTGTAAACAAAAAAAATTAAGAGTTTTTAAAAATTATGGCTAGCTATGCGGAACGATTTTAATAATAATATAAATATTTAAAACTTATATTGTGAGACTTTGTAAACAAAAAAAATTAAGAGTTTTTAAAAATTATGGCTAGCTATGTGGGACGGTTTTAATAATAATAAAAATATTTAAATATATATATATATATATTTTTTACTATTCAAATCACACCGTATTTTTCACAATTATTCCGCACTTCTCCATTCGAAACTTATATATTTAAAGTTGCATTAAAAATTTGCCCAAATGTTAAAGCTTTAAGTTGTATTCGAAATGTTTTTTTTTCTTCAACACCTTATTTTATGTTTGAGTATGAGATGCTAAAACATTGACATCATAAGACATAATGAGATTATTGTTGATTTTGCCATTGTCACCCAAATCTTTTGGATTTGCCATTTTGCTTCAAATATTTCAGATTTGCCATTTTTGTCATTTTAAAAACTATACATTTGTGAATTTTTTTATATAAAATACATACTTAATAACAAACACTAAACCCTAAAAAATGGGAAAAATAAAATAAACATAATGTATAAAATTATGTTTTTAGATATAAAAATTTGAAATCTAAAATATTTAAGACAAAATGGGAAAATCCACAAATATAATTAGGAAAAAAGACTTTTCCTAATTGATTCAAAGATCATTCATTAAAGTTGAATCTTTTAATTTACTATCATAATTAATAAGTCTACGATCCCAATATCTTCAAAACATAGTCATGCATAAGGACGATAATACCCATCACGGTCTCATTCCATAGAATTTTCTATTTAAAATAAAATTTTGTTTCAAAAAGTGTGTACAAATACATAGAATTCTATCTTTAGATTAGAAAGTCCGTTATAACAATAAAATAATCAATCATTTTAATATAAAATATTACACTAGCACTGTTCTCTAAATTTATTAATCAACTCTTTTCTCATAACTATATAACGACTTGTATGAGGTCATCTAAAGCTCCAATAAAACACTCAAGAGATACATTAACAAATTCAAGAACGAGATGGAGTCAATCTCTAAATGCATCATAAATATGAAATATTTCTATCATTGTTCAAATTATTGTTAAGGAAATAAAAGGAAATGATAAGCTAGTCAAATCTAGAAACGAAGGACACATTTATCAATTGCTCAGATTATTGAACTGACTGTAATAAATGGCCAAACATAAAACTAAGAGTCAGGCTTCGAATGGTAAAATCAGTTCAAGCGTTGCAGATCATGCAGAAGATGCAGGACAAGTGCAGAACATGCAGAACATGTAGGACAAGTGCAGAACATGCAGAACATGTAGGACAAGTGCAGATCATGCAGATCAAGCAGTTCAAATATGAGTTCGAATGGTGAAAGCTGTTCAACATGTGCAGATCAAATTATTAAATAATAAATAGTACACAATATAACTAAAAATTTATTAAGAACTACATATTGTTATAAACTTTATTAAAAAATACATATATAAAATACAGTTTTATTTTTAGTTTATTTTTTATTTTATTTTATATAATGTTATAATATATTATGCTATGTATAAATAAAATCATATAAAACTAAAATATATTAATCTATTAATAATTTTAAATATTAAACATAAAATATCCAAATACAACACATAAGAGTGAAAAAAAAAGATAATATATAAGCAAAAAAAAATTAAATTTAATGGAAAGTATTTTGATTTGCCCATAACATATCAGCAATATTTTCTCTTATATGTGCCATATGATTTCCATCAGGTATACTACCACTCTCCATGTCATCAAGATCATTCTCAGAATTTACGTTGTTGATATTTGTATCTCCCATTACTTCAACAAAATCCTCATCAAAATAATTCGAAATTCTGATAAAATTATGTAGTCCCATTGTAGCCGTTACCACTCTTTTTTGAACATCAATATCATATCTGGGAAATTCACAAAGAATCCTCCATTTTTTCTTCCAAACTCCAAATGTCCTCTCAATAACAGAACGTAGAGATGCATGACATCGATTAAACAACTCCTGTTTATTCCTAGGAGGAGGACCATTGTAGAACTGTGACATGTGATACCTAACAACTCCGTTCCGTGAAGATCTATAAGGTGCCAAAAAACCTTGTTTATTTGGATACCCAGAATCAACTACATAATACTTGTCTCTTGGAGGCAAAGGAAATTCAGAATCATTATCTTGTGCCATCGTTAGAACTGCTGTATCGTGACACGATCCAGGTGCTCCATTCCAAACATATGTAAACAACATATTTATATCACATATTGCCATGATATTAAACGATGTTCTATCGTGTCGATTCCAATACATTCCTTGTAGTTCAGGCTTCACCTTAACACATACATGAACTCCATCTATAGCTCCAACAAATCCACTGAAATATGGCCAATATCTTCGATCCATTTGTAGTTTTTCAGGAATTCGACGTAGTTCTTGTCTTGTTGGAGTCTTGATATAATCACAAGCAAGTAACTCTGTCGCTCTAAGGACTTCAAAAAATTTCCGATTCACTGTTTCTTGCGTTCGTCCAAATCGTAACCCAACATCTCTTTGAACTTCATTGTGTCCACATATCCGTAAAAACATGGCAACACTCTCTTCAATGCTAACATTCAATGTAGGTTGTAATCCATAACGTGTTTCCATTACGTCACATAATGATCTAAAACAATCAAGAGACATTCGTAGTAACTGAAGACAAGCAGCACTATCTTCTTGTATTCGACGCCAAATATTTCTCCATCCCAACCCGCCATCTGTTTGAATTGG